ACTAAACTGGGATGTGTACAAAAAGGTGCTTTAAAAAAGGAAAAGTAGGGCGCCTGGGTGGCTTAGTCGGTCGAGCAGCTGACTCTTGATTTCAGCTCACTTCAAGATCCCGGGGTCATGGGATCAAACCCTGCGTCAGGCTCCACACTGAACATGGAGCCTGCTTCAGATTCTCTTTCTCTTTCCCTCTGCCCCTCTCTGCCACTTGCATTTTCTCTTTCTCTCTCTCTAAAAATAAAATTAAATTAAAGATAAATAAAAGAAAAAAGAAAAAGTGCAATAGGAACATAAAGTTTTGTTGTTAGAACATGTCTTACAATTAATTTTATTATTTATTTATTTAAATTTTTGAGAGAAAGAATGAGAGTGCAAGTGGGGGGAGGGGCAGAGGGACAGAAAGAATCCCTAGCACGTTCCATGCCTAGAGCATAGCCCAACACAGTGCTTGATCTCAAAACCATGAGATCATGACCTGAGCCAAAATGAAGAGTCGGACGCTTAATCGACTGAGCCACCCAGCACCCCAATCATATAACTAATTTTAAAATCCACAAAACAACCCTAAGGCCTGGCCTGATCAGTTTTACATGTTGAACATTAACAAGGGCATTTACTTTCTTTGACACTATGATTGTAAGTGAGTGAACACGACTGAGGGTGTGTGGTGTGTGGTATTGTGGGTGTGTTATGACTCAGTTCAGATTACCTCCTTTCCACACTAAGGCCTTTTGTTGCTGATGTCTGCTTTCAAAGTTCCTTCAGTTAGAAAATGTGGAATATTATCCAACAGGAACATACATAAGGCAAGAGGAAAATATAGAATCAAGCCTCCTCATAAAGTTAGTGCTAGCTCCTCTCTTCTGGAACTTTCCTTCTCCTCATTCCTCAGAATGAACATCTGTACAAGTAAATAGAGAGAGGTAGTGCAGAGAGAAGACGATTTTGCTCTGGGGGCTCGGTGAGGTATTCTCAGAGCTACAGAGTATCTTTGTGGAGGCTTCTTTCTTCTGTGTGATTAATCCATAAAAGGGCTGATTTACCAAACCAAACAGGATGGGGTTTAGGAGCCAGCGCTTTCGCTTTCTGCTTCTCTGGGATAAGTGACGGCATAAATAATCTAGTACCCAAAAATTTTCCCACAAAAGACAATGCCCCCAAATTTGGAGAAGAGTGGAGTTTCAGCCTGAGTCGGTTTATCAAGCAATTCTATTTCTAAACTCACTGGAGGGTGTGGTAATCGATTAGTCCCTGGTGCCATTTTATTTCTTTGGATCAACAAAGGTCATATCCCATCTAAGCATTATATCTCTTGCCTTTTTTCCCCCTCGTCTCCTGGCATTTTAATCAGGGAAAAGTCACAGTTGTTTTGAGGAGAGCGCTCCCAAGAGCTTTAATTAAAGCGAGAAGGATAAATCTGTTTACAGTGTGGTGAACACTATCATTAATAAAACATTGAAATAATTAACGAATTAAATTCTGCTTTGTGTGTGAATGACTACACTTAGGATCCATGAGAACACGTTTCCGGAGCAGACAGTATGCTACGCACTTAGTATGCACAGAGGAGAAGAAAGCCCAAGACTGCATTTCTCTGAGATTCACAGTATCATGAACCGCGACAGCTTGAATGGAGAAGGCTACCATACCTTCATTTTACAGGGAAAGAAATTCAGCTTCAATGAGGTTAATGGCTTGGGCTCTGATGATATGCTTGAAAATTAAGAATTTTTATAACACCAATGATATACGGAGTCTTTACTTTGAATCCTTTATTGTTTAGCCAGAAACAAAAGGAAGAAAAAGACTAAATGAATAATAAGATAAGCAGCTCCAAGCAACAGGACAGAGTGGAATACTCTGAAAAACATGGGCAAATTTCGAAGTGTGATTAAACTCTGCTGTTGACCATTAGGAGGTTTTAGCTGCTCAGGATATGAAGTGGCCTTTTGAGCAGGATATGACCATGTGCAAAGCTCCGAGTGGGGACTTCCCTTATGCCCCTTCCCACTAAATTGCCTCTTGACTTGTTTTTAAGCTTTCTGGCAGACAACAGATCTCACAGGAAGCACTGATGTAGACGTTCATACCCACGGTTAACGACGCATTGTTTTTTTTATGTCACTCAGTAATTTCCTAGAGAAAACAATGGCAACCAAAGACTGTTCCTGTCTTGAAGGAAAGTCAGCTTCCAACACTGCCTTATTAATTTAACACATGCAAGTGTTTGTTCTTGTTGCTACAGCAACATGTTTTGTGGGGTATATCTCATGCAAAATGTGAAAAAGCAGAAAAAGAAAACAAATACCAACCGCATACTGATGTGCATATAAATAGAAATGTCTGTGCGCTAATGCTCCTGTGATTGGAGGTACGCGCCTCTTGCCCTCAGCCTCAATTATGCTTTACTTGGTGGTTAATGTAAAACATCTACCCAATGAAAACAACAAGCCAACCACTTCCAAGGAGTTTCAGAAAAGCTGGAAACATACAAAATTATTCATAATTAGGTGATGGGTGAATGATAAGAGCTCCCATCATGAGGGAAAAGATACAACAAACATGTAAATGAGTCCAGTGAGCTCCAGAAGGAGCAAAAGATAATCTTACCTCAAGGTGAACTGATGCTGAGTCTCTCTGACATTCATCGTCCATAGGGATGGAGGCATAAGGGCATTGAATGCTAGATTTAGAAAGAGTAAGCACCCAACTCATCTCCGTGTGTCCTCTCACAAGGAAAGGCATGAAGGGAATTATGTCCCAAGATATACCTGAATTCATATGAAAGGTAACAAATGATAAAGAAGAGGAGACTGAAGTGTAAAGAAGCAGGTGTTGGGAGTTCGGCAGACCCTGATTCCAAGCCCGGTCATTCACTGCGATCTTGGGCATTTACTAATCTCTCCGAACCTCAGGGTCCTCCTTTGTAAAATGAGGATAATAGCACCTCCTTCACAGGATTACTGTGAGGATGAAATACAAATATGTCAAGTACTCAGCAGAAGTGGGGCCCCATAGTAAACCCTCAATAAATGGTAACTATTCTACGAATGGCACAATTGTCATTCATGCTGTTCACCAAATTTCTAGCTCTCCTCCATCCAGCATGAAGTGAATTGCTACCCCTCAGAAGATAAGTGTGGCCATGGGATGTGCTTTGGCAATGAAAATGGGTGAAAGTGCTCTTTGAGGGGACCATAAGAGCTAGCACAACGGCTGTGCTCTCTTTTTCCCTTTGCTTGGTGACCAGCAATATTTGAGATGACAGCTGTCTCCTCTGTCTGGGTCCTGGTGTTAGAAGATGTGGAACAGACCCCCAGCTGGCCGATGAAGAGTAGCTTGAGTAAGAAGTAAACCTTGTTTGAGAGATTTTGGTTACGTAGCTTCTCCTAACCATTGCTTTCTATGCTTTGATAGAAAGAGTCGGACCATTTCAGATTTTTTTTCCTTTTGCCTAGCTCCTGAGAAGGATGTAAATCCTGTCTTGTTGACAAATGCTTTGTGAGAGCCCATCTTGTCTCAATGTTTCTACTGACACAGAATTGCCTTGCACAGAAGAATTGCTACAGTTGCAATTTCAGAAGTCTTGCAAGCCCAACACTGTCCCTAAATTATTGAGCACTATCCACATTACCAAGAATAGGACCACGTTACCATGCAAACATGCTTAGCACTGCAAAATGCAAGCTTTCCTCTGGAGACACGTCTGTCAATCATACTGAACTGCCTGTTGGTTTGGGGATGTGAAAAAACAAGTTACCAAGAGTATTTTGACATAGGCAAATTCATTTAACTTCTGACTTAATCTAGAGCTGGATTCAGCAATCCTTAGGTAAAAATCTCATCTTTTCTCACCGTCTACACATTTCTCAGTGTTATCATTTAGAGGTTAGCAGGAGTTCAGTCTCCTGTAATAGGCCATTTCACTTTAAGTGTATGTTAAACTAATATTGACCTTTACAAAGTAAAACAAAATCTGGGATTTGTGCTCAAAAGACTGAAACAACAATGGATATAGAAAGTAGGGGATTAATCATCTTGCTTTTTTTCTTGCTTAGAAACTCTCTCTGGGAATTAGTCATTTTTATATATCTTGCAATGTATGTAAGACAAGCTTTGCCTACTCTATGAAAATGAAGCCTGTATCCTTCAGCAAATAACTTTGTATAATTTGCCCACAGTTTAACCCACACAGCCAGATACCCAATGTTTCATTTGACAGTGGGTGAAAAAGTCAAGAACATGAGCATCAGGTCTTGAGTGGCCGTATCCAGCCGTCAAGGTTGGCCAGGCTGAGGTATTAGGATTGGTGCCAGGGATGAGTTGGGGCAAGGGAGTCATGGTGCAGAAGAGGAGAGTCTGTCAGGGATGTAAGGGTAATGGTAAGGAAGGGGGTATCAGGGCAAAGGGAGGGAAGCAGAAGCAACATCATAATAAGGATACAAATGTGTCCATTTCAGACATACATGTGTATATACACAGCCCCCAAAGACCAGTGCCCTTGATCTGCTCCCACTGCTTTCTTGGGCATGTGCTATGTACACTTGCATGGAAAAGCAAACCTCAGCTCCTTTCTTTCCTTCTTCTACTCTGAACAAACAAATAAGAAGCCTTATACTTTGATATAACTATTTCATGCAAGTCTACTGGTTGAGCCAAAATATTTCATCAAGGAAATAAAAATCTGTTGAAGGAGGAAGTATATGAATAGAAAATGTGTAGTTGTTGGGAAAAATCAGATCTTTTAGTTGTTACCAAAGTGAGACAACTGGGCATTCTGTGAAGAGTTAAAAAAAAAAAAAAAAGAATTTTCAAGGACATCAAGCAGGCCTGCTTTTCTTAGACTGCAGTGACATGATGGTTCTGCAGGGTGATGACACTTGGTGCCCATTCCTTTTGTCTTCTCACCTGCAGGCATCAGGCATTGCACTGCTTTTTTTCAACACCCTTTCTAGATGACCAAAATCTTCCACCCTAAAGATGCCACGTCTCCTGCTACATACCTGTATCCACTCTCTGTAGGAATCTTCTCCGGGAGTCCACCCATTCTCAGGGTAGTTGAGGCGAGAGCGTTCTGCAGACCAGTTAGTGCTATACTGGGAAGAAGCTGTGATTTGGTCAGAATGAATCTCCCCTGATTCCATGCCCAGAGCTTCCATACATTTGAAATCTAGAGGGGAAAAAATGGCCCAAAGTCATGAAAACATAGGGGACCTGAAATGCAGATTTCTTTTTATAATCTGGCAAACTAAAACATTCATGTTGACATTCACACAAAATCTTACAGAAGATGACAGTGGGGGACTTATTGAGACCTGGTACTGATACGTGGGAATAAATTCATGGCAGTAATTTTTAAAAACAGGGTTCTGAAGATCTTGTAGTGGATTAATTATTTTCCTAACTGGACCTAGGTTGACAGAAATACTATTAGAAATCTATTAGGGGGTGCTTGGGTGGCTCAGTCAGGTGAGGGTCCTGACTCTTGGTTTTGGCTCAGCTCATGATCTCATGGTTCATGAGTTTAAGCCCCACATCAGACTGTGCTGGCAGCACAGACCTTGCTGGCAGTTCTGTCTCTGCCCCTCCCCCCACTTGCTCTGACTCTGTTGTTCTCAAAATAAATAAATATACTTTAAAAAAATTACTAGGAAATGATGGCGCTTTTGATTTATTTTCAAAGTTCATACGAGTACACACCAGAAGTTTTAGTATTTTCTCTAAGATCCAGTAAAGTGAAAAAGATTCTATGTCTGTTTATAATCCATATTTGGTGAACAGTAGACTTTAATTCTCTGTCTTTCAGATTTCCTTGTAGTTGGCACCTGGGCCACTTCTCCCCGATTCCCTTTGTTCTCATGCCTCCTGCCCTGGCCTTGTCATGATTATTAACATCATTAGTTTATATTATTAAAACATGAGAGTATACATCAGAAGTAAACCACAGTATCATATGGTCCCAAGGAGGACCACAGTTTTACAACATAAAATAATAATGCTCACAATGATGACTATGAATCATGAAAGCATGTATTCCATTAGGCCTCATATACTCAGTGAAACAATGAAATATGACATTGATATGAAATATGACATAGGGAAATAAATAATCAACTTTAAGAAATGTGAATCTAAAAGTACTAACATGGGGAAAAAAGCTTTAGAGATTAAGGGTTCTCAATCATCAAGAAAAATGCCAACTAACCAAACTTGCACATTTTCTGAATTTTTTATCATAATAGATAAAGTTTTATGGCATAGAAGGTTTTCTTTCACTGGTTTCATACTTTTAAGCTTAGATTTGTTATTTGTAATATAGAAATATTTTTTGGGGTGCCTGGGTGGCTCAGCTGGTTGAACATCCACCTCTAGATTTCAGCTCAGGTCATGATCTCATGGTTCATGGGATCCAGCCCTGTGTTGTGCTCTGTGCTGACAGCATGGAATCTGCTTGGGCTTCTCTCTCTCTCTACTTCTGTCTGCCTCTCCCCCATGTTCTCTCTCTCTCTCTCTCTCTCTCTATCTCTCTCAATAAACATTTAAAATATTTATAGACACAAACATATATAAATTAATTAATCAAATTAAGCACAAATAAGATCTTGAAATTTAATTGGCCTTTTCATTTTCCAGTAAGATCTGGTAGAAAAGATGTTAGCATATCTATGGGGCACCTGGGTGGCTCAGTTGGTTAAGTGTCTGACTTTGGCTTAGGCCATGATCTCATCGTTCATGAGTTTGAGCCCCTCATCAGGCTCTGTGCTGACAGTTCAGAGCTTTGAGCCTGCTTCAGATTCTGTCTCCCTCTCTCTGCCTTTCTCCTACTCACGCTCTGTTGGTCTGTCTCTCTCAAAGATAAATAAAGCAAAAAAAAAAAAAAAAAAAAAGAGTGGGATGCCCAACCAGCTGAGCCACCCAGGGCACCCATCGACAAAATATTAAAAAAAAAAAAAAAAAAAGATACTAGTATATCTGCAGGAAAGGTCTCCAAACAGCCCCTGTCCTCTTCCCTATGTTACTTTACAACCTGGCAGCTAGACCTGATGAAATACACAATTTATTCATTGTTCTCTCTGGTGTTTTCCTTGGGCCCTTAAAAGAGCTGGACACTACATAAACTTTGAAGAAGCGTTGAGTTAGTTGATTATTTTAATAAGATGTGAAACATAGTACTTCCTCTTTCTTTTGTGGAAAGCTATAACCAAAATTAAAACATGCTTCTTTTACATGAATATCCACTTTTATTCACCTAAAAACAAAAAACAAATGGCTTCCACTGGTGTCTTCACAAACCAATCCACCAGGTGTCATCTATTCTGTAAGACTGCCTTGTCAATAAACTATGGCAGATTTGTTCCTATCCCTTGTGATCAATGCCTGTCCTTTTATGATTCTCAGCCCAGTACACATTCAAGGGTGCCAGATAGGGTCTGGCTATAGTTCGTTGTTTCAGGACACTGTTTTGCCATTTCCCACTTTCTCCCATAATTTCAGAGGCTCACAAGCAGCCTTCTCATCCACAATTTCCTTAAGAAAGCACACCAAACAGTTCTTCCTATTGATATCCAAAAAACCATTTAAAAGAGAAAAATAAATATTTGACATTCCAATTCGCAAACCATTTCTTTAGTGTTTCATGTGGCCACAGATGTGTGAGGAGGAATAACATGGAGTGTTTACCACAGGGCTTTGCAGGGTGAATAAATACTGACCTTCTGAGACACTACTCTGCAAAACACTGTAGTTTGCTGAGAAGCCTTCTTTTGCGATTGCACTGTCAGTATAAAAAACCATGGAGAGAATGCCCGAGGAGGAACGGATTCGACCTGGTGTCTTCTGTCCACAGTAACGCCCAATGTGAGGACCAACTAGAAAGGGAGAAATGCAGAGAACATTAAAGTATCTTTTGTTCCACCGCAGATGCAAGAATAACCGTTTGCAAACATGGGTCCCGGCAGAACCCAGAAGTGTTTTCTTACCCAAAGCAAGTCTTCCCTGGTTAATTGGTTCACTGTGAACATATTGGATCAGGTTTGTGGAGAGGGATATAAAGTGTGCTTAGAAGGGCAATAACAGGCATATAACCTCATTCCCCACTGAGCAGGATTGTTTTCAGGAACAGAATCAAAATGCTTGCTTCATCTGCAGTGAATGAGATTTGGGCTGTCAAGTGTCACCTTGACATTCATCTCCAGGACCAAACTGCACACACTACCCAGTGCTGAAAGATTCCAGCTAGGCTGTGATCACCAAGGGTTCTGGAAGCTGCCTTACTCACTTTCCCCCCCCATGAGGAGATCCAGGGAACTGGTCCCGGATGCAACCAGACCAGTGCCAGGAATCTGATCCAACATTGAGTAACCCCAATTTCCTTCTTCATTCCATCTTTTAGTTCTGGAGCCTTATTATGATGAACGTCACAGACAGGGCTCTATCTAATGGATAATTTATAATTGTAACAACCTAAAAAAATTAGAAGCTACAGACACCAATAATTTATACGTAATAATAAGTTGTAAACAAAATGAAAAGAAAATGCATCTGACTTTTCTCTGTTTTTTTTCTCTCCCAAACTTAAGAGACGTGACCACATTGCACTTAGGTCCTGTGGCTAAAAGATGGCCCAAAGGAGCCATTTGACTGTGCACATCAGGAAAAAAAGTAGTACCTGGGGCAGTGAAAAATTGGGAACACTGATTAATTTGTGATATGTCAAACTGCAACTGGGCTTAAACTGGCCACCCCTTTGTTGAAGTGCTTTTAGATAAACCTTGGCAGTTAGTAATTGCAACTTGCCACATAGACAGTGCACAAGCCCTCTGGGCTTGGAGAATCTCTCCAATTCCCTGTCCAGATCATCAGCAAGGAAAAAAAAAATCCCCTTTTCTCTAGTTTTTTTTTTTTTTTTTTTTTTTTCCATTGCACATATGGTAAAAACATAGCAGATGGTTTGGGCTTAGAAGGACAATCTGGTGTGGACCATTTTCCCCTCCAAGAAATCCATGGTTCTCTGCATTTCAACTAAGAGTTATTGCTTTGTTCAAGGAAGCACAGTAGGTGGACCCCTCTCTGGAAGGATGGGCCTACAGAAGGGACTTGGTGCGCCAAGGCCCGTGTGTGGAGCTTGGATGCAGAAAGCAGCTGATGAAGACTAGAAGCAGCTTCCAATGTGATTGGAAAAGTGAGTCTCATAAGAACTGATCTCCCTGGAGCCTCACCTACCCACTGAGTTCCTAGTAGGCAGCTGGCTAGTCCAAGCACCCTGCTTTTCGGAGTGCTCAAATCCTTGGCTGACAGGTTTTCAGCTCTTGGCTGGCCCTCTTAAAACAAAGCAAACCTAAAACTACAACTAAACCAAAGTGTTTCCACATTCGAGTTAGTGAAAAATGGTTACTTCGAATATCTGATAACTTCTCCATGCATTCATAGTAATTGATGTGATTGAATTTAAAGAGTTTTCTCTACTGTAACTCCTCATTCTCCAGCAACCAAACATTTTGTGTGTGTGTGTGTGTGTGTGTGTGTGTGTGTGTGTGTGTAGCCTGCTTTATTATGAAGAAAACAAGGACCCTGGCCCATTAGGGGAATTGATACAGATTATCTACAGGGCATGACATGGTCATGAACAGGGACTCTGTTATGGGAAGAAAATGTTGTTCTATCGGGTTTCCCAGTTGGCAGAAGAGAGCATCTCAGGAGATGAAACTCGCAGTTTTGTTTCTCTTGAGCTTTAATCTGAGCCTCAGCTTCTTCTACAAGTGCTAGTCCTTTGGCAGATTTTCATCATTCTGAATGAATTCAACACTTTTTTCTTCCCTATGGAGCACAAAGTTGCCCATGACATATGTATGAAAACACCGAGCTAGAGCCATAAACTCCGGTCTTTCCTTTCCTTGAAAAGAATCCCATTTCTGATTTACAATCTTAATGAGAGGCCTAGAGTCCATTCGTAGGTTCTCACTTTTTCCCCTCATTTAAATTCCATTATTGTGGTTTCATAACTTTCTTTTTCTTTAGCTTGTGGGCAAACATTTACAGCCTTAGTCCTTGGAGCCGGTCTCTGATCACCACAGCCATTGACCCGCCAAGAATACAAGTGCACAAGGGAAGCCACACTCAACCCCTTAAGCTCTGGCTGCAGATTCTCCACCCTCCCCCCACCACCCCATTCCTCTGGGGAGCGGGGAGGGGGAGTCTCTTTGAAAGAGCAAACAGAAGAGAACTTGTCTAATGCAGACTCATAATTTAGAGAGTCTCCATGACTCACTGGTTTATAATGTTTAAGACATGCCGGGTAAATCTGCCTTCTGTCCTTTAGAACCTTGCCCCCGGATAGCAGTGTGCAACTCTCTTTAGGAGCCCTTAAGATATGAGAGTGAAAAGGCTTTTTCGACTATAAGACAAAGAAGTATTGAATTTTCCTGAACAACAGCGAGACCTTAGCCTAGCAAGCTAATGCAATATTGATCTGAGCAAGAGTGGGCACAGTACTTATCTATCTCATGCATGTGCTCATTTGTGTATTTACATGAACACAGCTATTGGATTTCCTCTTTCCGTTAGGCCAAGGAGATGAATGGAAACTCACAAAAACAGAAGTGGAACTCAGCAATTGCATTACTGAAGAATTTAAGTAAGCAATATGTGCTAAACAATCTCTTGGGGGGACAGTAGGTGCATAGTGACCATATCTTTCCAGGTGTGAAGGCAATAAAGTATTTATGCTATTTAAAAGATATACCTGCAACTGGGAATGGCATTACTCTGTTATTTGTATTTTTCCATTAATTTCTCCAATAATTAATCTCTCCAATCTCTCACCTCAGAATGAGACAGTTTGGTCTCCTGTTCCCTTTCTATGGTGGGGGGCCAAAAAAAAAAAAGGCAGCAATCTGCTATAAAGACAGACTTTCAAAAGGAGGCATTCTGAATAACTAAACAAAAAAGGTAATCACTTCGAAAAAGTACAAAATAGACCAGGTATTGTTTTCCTACAATAATAAACTTTTTGTTGGAGAATATCTGGACTTGGCAACTTTTCCCCAGAAAAAAAAAAATTGCACATTTATGTCATTTACATTTTGGAATGTTTATAATTTTATGTTTATATCATTTCTATTTTAGAAGTTTAATTTAATTTAATTTTTTATTTTTAAATGCTTTTATTTATTTTTAAGAGAGACAGCATATGAGCAGGGGAGGGGCAGAGAGAGAGAGGGAAACACAGAATCCAAAGCGGGCTCCAGGCTCTGAGCTGTCAGCACAGAGCCCAGTGCAGGGCTTGAACCCATGGACTGTGAGACCATGAGCTGAGCTGAAGTTGGACGTTTAACCCACTGAGCCACCCAGGCGCCCCAGAAGTTAATTTTAATATAAACATTAAGTCAATAAAATCCAAACAGAGCTCAATCTAGCGTTCATGAAACTTACTCCTCAAATAGTTGATAGTTTTTGGAATGTAGGTAACGACAGCAGCTAAAGCCTGGGGGGAGAGCTGACTTCATGTGTGCCCATGTGGTGTGAGCTAAGCATTCGTGTTTGGCTCCAGAATTCAGCACAAACATTTGCAATATCCACCAGGGCCGGGCAGTGTGCTCAGCTCATGGCTCACAAACCATATGTAAACTTCCACCAATTACTACAGAGTTGCTACTTGTGAATCCATGGAGCTTAAGGAGTGATAGACAGAGATGTGTGATTCACAACAATGCATACCTCGACTTGAGTTTGGGAGTAAACTGCTTTTCTTCAAAGTCAATCCTATTCAATGGGTCGCTTTCAATTACATAGTCACCTAATTCAATGTGTATGATAAAAGGCAACATAAAATCACTTGATGGTTAAAAGCCTTCAGCGCCTTCTGGTTGTTGTTTTTGGAAGGGATATCAAAGAGTAAAAGCAATTTTGCTGGCAAGGGACTGTATGTGTTGAACTACTATAACAAAAATGTTTCTAGTGCCACTGACAAACCCAGGAGGGGAAGTCTGTCATTTTTGCCTAAAAAGGAGACAGCTGTTATGCTGGTGTAGGCTGGACAAGGCTAGGTAAATTTTAACAAATATACAACACAGTTTCCATATTCCAAGGCCAGTTTTCTCTGGGAATAAGTCAAGTGCACCGTAGTTTAAAACATGAGTGAATTGCAAGGCTGATAACTCTTATTGTTAATTGTTCCTCGCTTCAACTCAGTGATTTTCTAGAGCCAGAAAATTACTACTTTGAAAAACCCTTGACACTAATAACAATGTGCTTCTTTCTGAAAGTATTCTAAATAAGTTGGTTGATTGGACCTCCTTTTCAAATGTCAATTTAAATGTAAGTTCTAGAAAGGAAGGCTGCAAATTTGGGTTGTGAACAAATAAACCCATTATTAAATGTTCCAACTATTACTACAATACTGTTATAATATTGTTTTCCTAATTATCAGATTGAATACTTAGAAATCAATCAGCACTCTGTTTGGGCAAATCTCATTACTTAATGAAGGAGTTTCGATAAGATCATCATAAACCTATTTATATAGTAAAAGAGCAAAGACGAAACTACACCAATGATAACTCACCCACTTACTGCAATGACAATATAAGCTTTCTCTAAACCCAGTTTATCTCCATTGCTGTTTACTGTTGAGGAACATAGCTAAATTGAATTACGCTGAGAATTTTAATGTCATTTCAAAGGCAAAGGCAATCTCTTTCACATGATACTTGCCCTTCGTTTACAACTTAATATTTATTTAAATATTCTTTCCTCCAGCCTGATCATAATATCTGACTCTATTTTATTGGTGGTTACATATTTCTAACTGCATGATTCGTAAGAACTTCCAAGCTGCCCTTTCTGATCTGTGTAGAGTGTGTTCTCTAGAGAAATCTTAATATTAAACCAGACTAAACACAAGACAAGCAATGCAGCTGCAACAAATTATTTGATATTATCTCCCTCTTTTCAGGATTTGGGTGTGTATTTTTGCCATTCACCTTCTAATTCACAAGGATAGAAATGGAAAACTTTCATCTAGCTGTCCACATGGCCACCCCCTGCCCCCTACCTCCTTCAAATCTTTGCTAAAATGACATTTTTTGTAATAAGGCCGAACCTGACCACCTTATTTAAAATTTCAACCTAAATATCCCTGTCTCTTAACCCTAGTACTTTTCATGCCTTTGCTCTACTCTACTTTCCTTTCTTTCATTTTTGTTGTTGTTGTTGTTGTTTACAGAAGTTCTCACTTTTTGCATTCCAAGGACAGAATTCTTTCATCTGTAAGTGTATTGTTTATTGTCCAATGGCCCCTGGCAGAATTGAAATCCGGATGGGGGGGCGGGGCGGGGGCAGGGCAGCCACCTTTGATTGTTCTGTTACTAAGTAGCTAGACCAATGCCTGGTACATGGCAGGTATTCAGTAAATATATTTTAAAATGTAGGATAAATTTAGATGATAAAAACAATGTATGCAGATGATGTGTTGAGATGATTCAAATTGCCAAAGATAAAAATTCCCTAGGGAGCAGATAAGGAATCTGTCTAAATTAGTAATGTCCAAACATCCTCTTTCTTTTTCTAAATTTCTAAATTTTTGGTAACCGCATAATGGATGCCATTTCACCCTTAAAATTGTATCACGTACTTAACCTCTCTGGTCTTTAGTCTCTGCATTTGTCAAGTGAATTGTTTGACTTAACTGATCTCTTCAGGTCTGTGAATTAATGACCAGTAGGCAGGTCAATGAAATGAGGCAAATACTTTAGTCAGGAAAACCATGTGTTGGTCCTAATTCTATCACAAAAATAGCTATGAGACCATGTATAATCGTTCATGGCCCCAGTTTCCTTACCTATAAATTGAAGAAATTAGACTAGATAATTACTGTCTTCTGAGCTCAAATATTTCATCGCTACTCTTCATAAAGAGAGTTACCATTTTGCTTTGTTTTATCTCCTCCTTCTGAACTATTTTTTTAAAAAATGATGCATGTATCATGACACTTGTAAAAGGATCTCAGCGCCCTTCCCCCAGATTCTCCCCTTTTGGGGATGCTTCCTGCCCTTCTTACCATCAGGGAATCCATCCCAGATTTCTAGCCGGTCATAGCGACAGAACATCCCCCCTGGAGGGTTTGAGTCAAGCTCCAGGTCAAAGCTTTCAAATTCCAGGATAATCTCTGACATCTTTGGTGCAAAGATAATATAAGTGCATTCAAGGCTGTTGGGATATTTTTCAGGGAATCCTGGGGACTTTATCACTCCACTAGGTGCTGTGTAATTCTGAGAACATTCAGGACCTAGAAGCAAAAGAAAAGAAAGAGCAAAGTGAAAATCCCACTCACACAACTTCACCAACAAATAACCTGGGTAAAGGCAGCATATCTTTCTAATAAAAGCTCACGATTATAGTCACTTTCCAAATCACTCATTACTCAGCCTTACTATAGGAGTGATAGGTATGGAAAGTCAAGTTCAGATTTATTGTGTTCACCTTAGTTTTCCATTTGTGTGAAGCAATTTAAAAACTTCTGCTGTTGCAGAGAAAAAAAAATGACAAATATCAAATCATGTGGGAACAATGAATGAGTAAGCTACAGAAATCTCGACAGAGCCCTAGAGAAATAATTATAGCCCCTTCAAGCTTAAATCTTTAAATCTTGAGGCTGACAGCCCTTTATTGGTGAAATAGAACATTTACAAAGGCGAGGGAGAGAATTCAGTGGAGGGAGTTTGGGTTTCAGATTCCTACACCAGTGACTCAGTAACTCTGCCAGATGTGACCTATGCCTCTTTGACAAACTAAATGTGAAAGGTAATTCGTACATGTATCCAGGGTGAGTGACTCATTTTGAGTGGTGTTGACACAGGTGTGCCGGTAAAGTGTGGCTGTTAGTGAGGGCACGATAAACTGTGATTACAGGCCGTGTTGCTAGAAGTCACTTGATATCAATGTTGACATTGTTGCCTTCCCCAATGTATCAGATACAGTGCCATTCTAAAATTATTTTTAACATACATGTGTGGGTGTGTAATGTGTCTATTTATAGTGTATAATTTTAGTGACTATTCAGGGTTTTCAACACTTTACAAATTATGGTAATTTGTAATTTAAATTGGTCAAGCTCATACACACCTATGGTGCAAGTTGACCTTATGACTGTATGAATGACCACAATTTTGATTCATGGCATCCAGCAGCAAATGGGGTGGTATCCACCACACCATTGAAAATGGCCCATCTACAAGAATATGAGCACATCAACTTCACCCCTTATCACCACCACCACTGCTGTGATTTTCAAAGGGATCCTAAGGATCTCTGGGAATCAGCAACGACTTGATCCTCTTGAAACTCAAGATCCAACCTGGGAATGTTCAATTCAACAATTTTTTCCCTGGGCCACTGTCTCACTGATGGGCACGCTGTGATGGCATGCATGGATTCAGCTCTAATAAGGAGGTTGGTTGAGAGTGTTCTTAACTAAATATTCTCCCACAGAGCCAAGTACTAGAGGCAACACTGTAGGCATCAATACAGATTAAATTAAACCAACAGATCTCTATTTTTAGTGTTTAGAATTGCTACGCTGAATCTCCACCTCAGTGCGTCTGGCAGGCTTTTGAGAAAACAAATCAATTGTTTGCTCTCCATGTACATACTAGATGTTCATGGCACTGGAGACACAGAAGAATAAAAATTACTAGATGTACACAATAAACCTGGCCTTTAGAGGTCTGACTTGCTTAAAATGCCTTCCAAAGCCTTCACAGATGTGGCTCATCCTTCACCATGGTGGCTTCAGATACTTACTTATTTGATTCTGGTTAAAGTTAATAACATGTGACATTTACCATGTCAATTACAGGTAAGAAGATTACAGAATGTGCCGTATCATTTATATTCTAAGTTCATGGGTGGCTTCTAAGATGACAGGGACTTTGCCAATTTAAGACATTAATTTACAAAGACATTATAGTTTACAATTATA